CATTTTTTTCAAAAATATTTCGCATTAATTAACAAAATATTATGGAATATAGATATACTATTTCGAACACCATGTTTTGTTCACGAATAACCAAGTCACGAAACTAACTCACTTATGCCTGTAATTTTGCAGCACCGACAATTGCAATAATTTAGCTGCACCACGCAACAAGTTTTATCGAAATAGTATCGTGGCGCATTAAACATAACACGTAGTAGTAAGGTACTTATATGTACATTAGAAGATAAGAAATTTTCTTTCAAAATCAAATATGTATTACGTATAACAATATTCCTCGAAGTATAAATAATTTCACTGCACTTGCATGCTAAATTTTTAAAAAATTTAAATTTTGATCAAAACTTATTTAAAACAACGCCTACCACGAATTTTTCATTTTTTTCAAAAATATTTCGCATTAATTAACAAAATATTATGGAATATAGATATACTATTTCGAACACCATGTTTTGTTCACGAATAACCAAGTCACGAAACTAACTCACTTATGCCTGTAATTTTGCAGCACCGACAATTGCAATAATTTAGCTGCACCACGCAACAAGTTTTATCGAAATAGTATCGTGGCGCATTAAACATAACACGTAGTAGTAAGGTACTTATATGTACATTAGAAGATAAGAAATTTTCTTTCAAAATCAAATATGTATTACGTATAACAATATTCCTCGAAGTATAAATAATTTCACTGCACTTGCATGTTAAATGTCTGCGATTAATTGTAAAGAACAAATATCAAATTTGTATAATTTTATATATAATTTTATGTAAAATGTAGTAAAAATGTAGTTTACATAAAATAAAATTACGAATTTTGATTGATTAATTATAAATTCTGAAGATTTGTTGGAATATTCTTAAATCGAAACAATTTTTATATTGTATCAATAACGATTAAAAATTTTTTTAACTTTTTTAATAAACAAATTTTTTGAGTAAACAAATTTTCCAAAAGTCATTAAATTTCTGTAGAAAGGAAATATTCGTGTTGATATAACATAATATATATATAAATTTTATCATAAATTTTATAATAATCGATAATGCCATGGCTATGAAATAATTAATATTTCTAAAAAAAATAAAGAAAAGAATCAAAAATCTACAAAGTATCAATGTATGTTACAATTAATTTATTCGACACCTTTGAATAATTGATTCAAAACAAATACAAAAATCTCGCTTAAGATTTCTTTATCGAGTTATAAGCAATTGAAGTGTATAATGCATCGAATAAAATGAGACGTAGAGTGAGATCGCGCCATCTTCGTCACACCATTTTGTTTCATTCGTTAAATTGCTTATAAGTTAATAAATAAGCCTCGATCGACATATTTTTGTATGCCAATTTTTGTGCTGAGTTCTAAAATCAATTCCACGAATACATTAATACCTTCTGTATGAATATGAATGTAATTGAAACGAAAGATTGATGAAACAATGATTGGATCACGTTTGACATAACAATAAATGATAATCGTTAATCAGATAATTAAAATTATATAAATTTGAATTTAATACCACGGTTTAATGATTATGACTAACATACATTTTTCATTCTTATCTAATACAAGGAGTGAAATATTCAAGGTGTAATTACATTGATGCGATTACAAGATAATTTCTTTGTCAAAAACTAATGTTAAAAAACACGAACAACTATTTCTTCTAGATTACGCAGATATTTTTATGCTCGTTAAATTCTCTGTTCCACATAATATGCAACTTTATTTTTTCGAACGATTAATTCGCAGATTAATGTACATTTAATACTATGTTTTGTATATATACAAGATAGATCGAAATGAATCAGATTATTTTTTGTTGATAGTAAAAAAAAAAAAAAGCAATGTTAAAACATAGAAAGAATAAATTCGTATTCATTTAATAATAAAAAATTAGAAAATTTTTTACAAACAAAAAATTTAAAAAATGAGAAGTATTCGCTCGAATTTTTCACCTAATTTAACTTACAAATTTAAAAAAGGAATTCAAATTTTCATAAAAAGAAGCTTTAAATTAAAATAATATAATTCGATAATAATAAGGCTATAATTTAGAAATTTAAAATATTTCTTTTTCTCTTCTTTTGAATATCATTATTCTCGAATGATTCTTTTTTATGTACGTACGAATTATCTATACATAAATAATTTACATTTTTACAATCATAATATTCAAATAGGTAATGAAGATGATTGATTCATCTCAATTAACTCCATATACGTAATTCAAAATGAATAAAATATATAATAAATATAATAATCTAAAAATATAACAATCTAAAATATATCAAACATTAAATTTTGACATTACGTAAATAATAACAATAATAATAATATTATATTAATAGTAATAAATATTGTATTTGGATTTTCAAACTTACCTTTTAATTTTAAATATTAAAAATTGTAGATTTCTTATTTCTTAAAAATATTATAATAATACGTTTGTATTAACAGTATATGACTGACACTAAACAACAACTTAGAACAATTAATGATCTATAACATTACATGAAAGAGGAATGAACGAAATAATACGAACAATTGGAATGCTTATTTCTATAAGCATCTGTTATGAATTAAATTTTTATTTTACTTTTAAAAATGAAATCTTCTTTGCTACGAATATTTCGAATTATAAAATCGATCATTAACGTGAGCTGTACACGTTCGTCATGAATCATGGATCAGATCGCGAGCGTGTAACAAGTTTAAGTACTCTACACACATTAAAACATGTTGCTATACACGCTTATCGACTCGATAGTTTTATAAAACTGCGCATGAGTTTCTCAAACAATGTTGGGCAAAGTAAAAGTAAAAAAAAAGTATTACTGATAATTACTTTTAAATATTATAAAATATGATATTTATTTTACGAGATTTATTCATATTCGTAAATTGAAAAATATTATTTAAAATGATATTAAATCTATTAAAATTTTTTTAAGACATAATAGAAATAATGATTGCAATTACTTAAATAGAATTTTACATTTGCATGAAATCATATCAAATATTATTCGTTATAATTATTATTTCGTAGAAAAAAATAATTTCTTTCGTATCTTATTATTGAATGAGTATTGTATGAATATTAACCACTTAAACGTTCCACGATATGCAAATATAAGTGTTAAAATAGAATCGCAATTACTTCGTGGATAAGATTTCACGAAAATCATATTCAAACATTTTAATTATTATTATTGTAATTAGGGTAAATACAATATTTATTTTAATTAATTATTTCGATATAAAGATATATATAAATATATATATATAGTATATAATTAAAATATTTGTTATACATCAAATGATTATTTCAATTAAATATTTATTTTAATTAATAGTATTATAGTAATAATTTATAATTTCAAATTAATCATATTTAAAATTTTTATTTCCATTATTAGAAATAAATACGAATTTATTTTAGTAATATTTAAAATTGCTAAAAAGCAAAAGAAAATTTTCTTTGTGCAAGAAAGTATTTAATGAACTAATTATTGATTCTTCATTCGTTATTTGTTCCATTATTTTCATGTATCTATAATTATGATCGCTTATTTTGCTATTAATATTAAATTGCTACTAATTATAATACTATTTTTCTTTTTTACTTTTTTCACAGAGGGAATTTTTCTGCCAATTCTGATCCATAACAAAGAATTACGATAATTTTCAGTGTTTCTCGAAATTAATGCAATGTTAATACGTACAATATTTTATATATGTATGCATATCCACGTAAATTTATATCTTCTTTAATAATATAAAAGAAGATCGATCAAAGTTTATGTTTTTAATATAAATGATATTTTTATATTTTATTTTATTATATTAAATTTATATTACACAAATGTTATATAAAATTATATAAAATGATAAAACACATTAATAAGACTTTATTGTTTGAAAATAAAAATTGTTTTCTATTTATAAATAAATAGATAAAAAATATTGATTTAATATTCCAAAAATAGTAATTTTTTGTCAACTAGATTGTACAATTTCTTATATTCTTACCCTGTAAAATTAAATTTAATTGGTAGAATTTTTTTTAAGATATATCTCTTTGAAATTATATAATTATTTTTAAAAGGATATGAATAATATGAGATATTTCTTAAAAAATATTTTGCTTTAATGCTTGACAACCTATAAGTACATATTTCCATTCCATTAGCTTCTTATTTGAAAAAGATAAATTCAAATCTTGAAGAATTCTCATTTTGTTAGCTAAAATGAAATATCTTCAAAATATTCTCGACAAAAAAATTGATCATAAATTTTATATCATAACAAAAGGAATAGTAAAATTATTTTCCTTGGCTATGTTCTCGTATAAATATAAATAATAATAAAAGACAATATTTTTTTTTATCCATTTGTCTTCTAAATCTAACACAACAGACAATTTCCTCAGTCACATTGGGATTCAGTACACAAAAGTAAGTAAGAAATTTTTCCATTCTCAAACAAGAAAATCTCTTGATATGTTTTATCGTATCATTTTATCGCATTCATCTTTCACAGATCAAACTTATGGAAAAAAAATATAATGAGCTTTTATCGATTTTCTATATTATTAAAAAAGAGATATTTATATATATATATATAAAATATCCCAAAAATAAGAAAACACCGATTAATTGATTGATGATTCCTGAGATAATTTCGAGCAATATTTTCCTTTGCAAAAACTTTTTACGACTTTGTTAAAGCTGAGCTTTATTAAACGAAAAATATTAGCCAATTACGTAATCGAATTGCTGATAGTTAGGTATGTATTTCGATCGAATAAGTTCAAACATTAAATATAAAAAATATTTTTTTATCGAAAAATTAATTATTAACAATATAATATATCATAGTACAGTAAAATAATATAAAAGAAACAATATGAAAATCATATGACGCGTTATAATTTCGCAAAATGTATAACGATATCGATACCATCAAGCTTAAAAGTTGATACGTGCATGGCAACATGTTTGAAATTGTGTGCAAGTCGCTTTAAAACCGCACACGCCGTTGCTTTCTCTCAGCAGCTGCTCGCGTTTGCGCAAAAACGAGACGCGTTGATAATAGCTCGATAAAGGAGAATTTAAATACCTATTAAAACTAAGGATTATGACTTCGCGGACGAATACACGAACGTTCGTTTCTCAGACGGCAGACGCAATAAAAACGTCTAGCTCGATTGTAAATACAGTGGTTGGTGTTTAAACATCCGGATTCCCGTGACACGGTGAGTTCTACGAACTTTCCACGCTAAAGCGTCGTGCAAGTATGAGATACGGTTTAACGGTGTGTGCGTTCACCTAGTTAACGCGCCATTTTTCTTTTCTTTTTTTTTTTTTTTTCTACATCGAACCATCTAGCCATCTAAACTTTGCTAAACCACAGAGGAGACATATAAATGAATTCACGGAAAGAAGCTCGGTTCCAGAAACTGACGCCAGTTAAACGTGCGACTGACTACCTCCCTGTTAGTTAATAAAACCAGAGAAAGTTATTTGCGGAACACGAGATACCGTGAAACAGGTTTCGAGCTGTTCCCTTAATAAATAAAGGTATATTTACCTTATCGAATAGCAACAAAGTACTGTACAGTTAACCATTCCTTACTTTGTTTCGAATTTTAATCTTTTTTTCTTTATATGTATATATGATATATTCGTGGGAATATCTTTCGAAAAATCGATTCTAAAATGTTAAAAAACAAAAAGTTAATATAGGAAAATATTGTTAAGACTTTTATTTATCAAGCTATAATTAAAATTGAATAAGTCCTGTTCCTCTAATTTAAATTTTTGTTAACTTAATAACCAACTTTTATGTTTGCTTTTCTCTAGAATCAAATGAATTTCGATATGCAATATCTTCATTAATATTTTAATGCTTTGAACTACAAAATCGTTGTAAACTTTTATAAAATAATTATAGATTTTTAATTTTCTTAATTTTTAAGAATACACTTAATACTTTTGATGAAATCAAAGTTAGTGAAAAATATATTATTCAATTAATAATGAAATCATTTTTGATATAAAAAAAATTTACTAATTAATTTGAAAAATAATTTCAATTTCGTAAAAAAAAAAAAAAACAATAAGTGCCAGAAGATTCCCGGTTTAATTTATCAAAATATTTTTAAAACGATCCTTTCTCTCATCCTTGAATTTTATTCACTTTGCTTTGTTAATGAATGATAATTTATTTTTAGAAAACAGTCATTTATTTTCTTTTTCTTCCTTTCTTATATTTTTCTTTTTTTCCTTCCCCATCTTTCCTTTCCTCTTTTTCCTTTTTCACACTTTTGTATTTGCATTTTCTCTCTAACTCTCCTTTACCTAACACCTGACGTCAGTTTTCAACAATTTAAAATTATATTATTATATTTATATGGTTTTATGAAATAAATAATGAAAAAAGAAAATATGCATTAATTTAATCAACAAGATCGTTTATTGAAAATAATAATAGTAAATCGATTCTGATCTTAATTTTTGTTAATAATAATTATAACATAATGCATAACTTTTTTTTACTTCTTTCTTTACTTTAATATATTTTAATCGCTTTAATTATACTATTCTCCTATTTTGCATTATTCTTTTTCTTTTTTATTATTCTTATCATAAGATTTCTGCTTAAATAATAAATATAATAATAATGATGATAATAAAAATAAGAAACGTTTATAAAAAATAACGTTAATTCCTAAATCAATTCTCAATAGCATTTATACGTTATATATTTATGAATTTCGTAATGAGTACTCTTCTTAAGAGAAAATTTCGCGAATAACATTTAAAACATTGTTTTAAAAATTACCAACTTTACAAGATTAAAATGGGTAATAAACTGTTGATAAAAACCATTTTATGTTTGGAAAAATGAACGAGGAACGATTTACGTACGATAAACACAGAGACGCAAAAGCCTTGTTTTCACATGACAAATTCAAAGCCTTACTCATTCCGCGATAATAGTTCCTACATATCGTCTCTATAGAAACGCGACCAAGTCGTGTCACGTTTCTCAAGGATAAAACGGATTTACTTGAAGACCTTTATAAATGTACATACATCATAAAAGTCTTCTTCATAGATTAGATATCTTGGATTAAAAGGAATTCATTTAATCCGAAAATCCTGATTTTAAAGCATAATAAGTTACACGAAACAATCCTTTTTTTCGTCGATGAGAAATTTCTTTGAAAATCAATTCTCATTTTCAGCATCTTTTTAGAATACAATTTTATCTGAAAATTTTTTTCACAATAAGATAATAAGATTTTAAATACTCTTTAATTTAATATTTCATTCTATCCTTATTTAGTTGTGTTAAAAAAATAAAATAAAATAAAAAAACACACGAAACGATGAAATTGATTGACAATACACTATATACTTAAATATATAAAATTTCATTACGAATAAAAAATTTTTGTAATTACTTTAGATTAAGAAAATTAAAAAAATATTTTTTTTAATAAAATCCTATGAATATATATAAAACAAATAATGGATTATGAAAGAATTTTTCTTTTTAACGAAATATTTATCATTTTAAGAATTAATATGAAATCAACGTTCAAAGTTTTAATATTTTCTTTGTTTTTTAAATATAATTTTGCAATTATAGAAGATAGAGCATTCAGAATTACTTCATCATCAAAAGTTTGCAGATAAAATTGTAATTATCTAAAATTTGAAAAGATGCTGAAACTTTGATTTCATAATTTCATAAAGATATCTTATTAACAAAAAATTTCTCTCCTTATATATATATTATAATTTATAAAATATATAATTATTACTCAAACTTTCATCAAAATCAAAATCTTTGGATTAGATAATTTTTTTTTATAAGATAATACATGATTGATTATTGATTGTTATCGTTGAAGGATATTTTCACCTAATAATATCGAAAAATGTTATCATTTATTCGTTGTATACCAGAAATTTGCTAACCGATGTTATTCAATAATGTCAAAAAATGAAAATTACAGTGAAAATGTACGACATTACAATATTAATACTATGTAAGTATAGAATAACAAATTTGAAAAAGTTTTAACATTGAAGTGAAAAATCCTATATCGAAATTAAACGCATTTCACGAATAAATATATGAATAAACAATATTTTCATTTAAAATCTTTTTTATTTTATTTTCATTCTCAAAATATATACTAAGATAAATATTCTCGTACGATTTCTCAGTGTTAAGCATCGTTCGATATCAAGCGATTACTGGACGCCATTACAGATTTCTATAGTATATCGTCACGTACGAATCGAAAGCTTTTTTTTTACGACAATTACTCATTTGTTAATTTATTTTTATCACGTTAATATATACATATATATTAGTGTGTGTGTATAAATAATAGATTATTACATAGAAAAATTTAACATGAAATAATACGAGTAATTGATCCTTTTGATTCTCGCATTATTCGAGCATCAATTGATTGTTTGAAATAATTTATTTCATTAAAATTTAATTTTAAGATAATTTAAATTTATTATATATAATATGGAAAAATACAATCTAAACGTTGATTATAAAAAATTTCATCAAATATTTATTGTTAAATTGTTAATAATAAAATAATTTTAATATCAATATATTTTTATAAACATCTTTTGTTGCTAACAATAACGACCTTTTTTCTCACTAGAGCGATAAACTTCTTTAAAAAAAAAATATTATAGTAGGTCACAAGAAGAAAACACGTTGAATATCGTGCTGAACAGATAAATAAGTAATAATTTGATTTTCTTATCTCATAGAAAATTTTTAAAATGAAATTATTGATATTATCGTTATGTCGAATATAATGTCGATCTTTATTTAAAAGAATTAAGTTATTTATAATTAAATGATAATTTTTAGCAAATGTTATATTTAATGAATGTTGTAAATATTAATTAATTATATTATTCTTTTATAATTAAAAATTGTAAGTATATATTAATATATATTAAGAGATATTTTAATTCAATGATCTAATAATAAAGAGAAGATCATTTGTTAATGATGAAATTAAAGTCCATTTAATACATAGTAATGAATTTCAGAATGTGAAATAACTTGAATTGCTGATTGTTATAAAACATCGCTTACAATCTTTTCAGGTCTGAAAACTTGTAGTTAAATATATTAATACATTCCAATGAATGCATTCATATTTTCATAGCATTTTTTTTAAATGAAAAAAAAATAATAATAAATGCAATCATGTATATTAGATACATGATATTGCTTACTATAAAAATTCATATATAAATTATGTACATAGTAAAGAATAATATAAAAAATTAATTATAAATCATTTATATAAATTTTCAAGGTTTTCAGAGTTATAATTTAGCATTGAATATTTTGCAATAATTCTTTTTTCATGTTAAATTATTAAAAAATTATTTAAAATTATTTTAAAGGGAAAAAATAGATTAACAAGTTCATCAATTAAGTATAAAATTTTTAAATTTTTTTTCAAAAAACAAATAATTAATAAAATTACAATAGAAATTACTGTTCAAATAATTTCAAAATTATGATTTTTTAAGAAAAATAAATCAGAGAATTTATTGAAAAATAAATCTAAACTAATATAAATTGTTAAAATTAAATAACTATTATAATTATATTGTGAAAAGAAACTAAATTAAAATACTATTTAAATACTGAAAAATATTTAATATTTAAAATATAATTTTAAATATTTTGGAACATCTAAATTTTAGAAAAATCCTTAAAGAATAATCTTCTATTTTTATTTACAGTACATAAATATTCATATATATCTTTTTTTAATTGTACAAAGAAGTGTTATACAAACAAAAACTATTTGATCTACTTTTTGCAAATATAATATGTAAAGTAAACAACTTTTAATAATGTATAATAAAAAAATAATATGAAAAATTTAAAAATTTTAAAGTCAAAAACTACATTCGTAATTCTAGTATTAAATCTTAATTCTATTGCTAAATAGGTTACTAAAAATTCATTTTTAAACTCGTAAGTTTTTCAGTATCATCATATTAACGAGAGAATAATTGTAAAAAACATTTTTCATTCTGTTAATTTCATTCAAAATATAAGCATTACTTTACATTACAGGTTTAGATTAAAAAATTTCCGATTTTTTAACTTTGAAAAAAAATATCGTGTAATAGTTAATATCTGAGTTCTATTTTTATTAAATTTTTACTTTCATATATCTGA